GTACATACTGCATAAAGCCATGTATGGATTAAAACAAGCTCTAAGAGCTTGAAATAAGAAAATAGATAGTTTTCTAAGGGAGATAGAATTTTTAAAGTGCACAACTGAATATGGAGTATATGTAAGAAGAAACAATAGTAAATTGCTTATACTATGTCTCTATATCAATGACTTGTTAATAACATGTAGCTGCAAGAAGAAGATCGAAGACTTCAAAGGTGATCTCATCAAGAAATTTTAAATGTCGGATATGGATGACATTTCATATTTCCTTGGCATCAAATTCTACAAGAACAATAGAGGTTTTATGATGAATCAAAGAAGATATGGAAGTGATATTCACAAGAGATTTGAGATTGAAGAGTGCAACTCAACTTTGATACATGCAGAACCAAGACCGCAGCTGTCGAAAGATGCAGATGAAGATGATGTCGGCCCAACCAAATACATAAGACTTATTAGGTCATTGAGACACCTTTGTCACACAAGGTCTGACTTAGCATAAAGTATAAGTATGATGAGTAAATTCATGCAGAAGCCAAAGGTATCATACCTAGCAACGGTGGAAAGGATACTAAAGTATTTGAAAGAAACTCATAATTATGACATTCTGTTTCGTACAACTGATAAAGGAAAAGAATGTAAGTTAGTGGGATATACTGATTCAAGTTGGTGTAGTGATGTTGAGGATAAAAAACCTACAACATAATATGTGTTTTATGCTAGTTGGTGCACCAATTGCTTGAAGTTCGAGAAAGGAACCAGTTGTGGCATTATCATCGTGCAAAGTAAAGTACATAATTGCTTCTTTTTATGCATGTCAAGCAACATGGATGGTGAACTTGGTCGAAGAAATCACAGAGAAAGATCATGGAACAATTACCATGAAGATCGACAGAATGTCAGCTATTAATCTGGTGAAGAACCCGATAGCACATGGTCGAAGCAAGCACATTAAAATGAAGTTACACTATCTTCGAGAGTAGGTAGAAGAAGGGAAGATGAACTTGGAACGCTCCAGAATTGAGAACCAGATTGCAGACATCATGACAAAGGGAGTGCATGTTGAAGTGTTTAGAAGATTAAGAGTTATAATGAATGTAGATAACTTAGACACAATAAATTAAGCGGTGTGTTGAGAATGTAATTCCTAGTGTCGAAAGCACCATGTTGCTCGATACAAGGTGTGTCGAAATAACCTAAGTGTATGTGTCAAATTGTTTGTCGAGTTGTGTATGTCGAAGTGTCGAAGTAGGTTGTTTCACATAGGATTTCGACTTAGGTCTAAAATAAATATTTTGGACTTTTATAGTTTTGAACTTTTTGGCTTAGAGAGAAAGCAAACTCATTATAAATAGAGGGAGTAACCCCTATTTTGAATAATAACTCAGAACTTGTATTCACAAAATTTATGTTGCAAGTTAACAAAGATTTTCCACAGTTTGTAGACAGAGAGAAACTCTGCAGAAACTCTAATCTCTTTTCTTCTTTAATTTTCTTTCCTTTTCATCGTTATTGTGTAGTGATAACAATCTTGTTCATCGAGATTGATAGAAATTCTCCATAGATTTTGGTGAATTTCCAACAATAACGATGTCCACTCTAACAACTATGAGTATCAGTGTTTAAATTCTTAATGACAAATGCTAATTGAACTCTTAATGACAAACTCCACCATAATTAGGGGTGTAATCGATTCGGTTTGTACTAGTTTTTGGTCAAAAAGGCCCGAACTGATAATATCTCCATCGGTTTAGTTCGGTTGATCGATTTATAATGTTTTTTTTCCAAATATTATATTCATAAGTGTATTCTCTACTATACATTTTTTCAGTGTATTTTATACTAATATTTTTTAAAATAATTTATTTCATATAATATTTTTTTTAAACATATATTAATTATCATTAATTTGATTCAATTTTAAATCAATCAATTTTATTTCCATTTAATTGATTTTTTCTTATCTAGGTTGAGCTAATTTTATAGAAAGGAATATTGAACTTTGGTTTTATATTTGAGATAAAAAAATATTTTCAATTTATGAAGGGTGGAAAAAGTAAAATGCATACAAGTAAACCAAGCATGTTGCATTTCTTATTTTATTTTCACATTTCATTTCTTTGAATGCTTCTCCTCCCTCCTCTCTTTTATCTTTCTCCAAACAACAATGTCTCTCTCTGTCTCAAATTCTCAAACTTGAAAACCATTCAATTTCCCAAACCCTTCCTTCAAATCCCTAATTTTTCACCATCCATTTCTATTTCAATCCTCACACAATATACAAGAAATGGGTGCGTACAGAGCCGACGACGACTACGATTATCTTTTCAAAGTCGTTCTCATCGGAGACTCCGGCGTCGGTAAATCCAATCTCTTGTCACGATTCACAAAAAACGAATTCAGTTTGGAATCCAAATCCACCATTGGCGTTGAATTCGCTACTCGCAGTATCCACGTTGATGATAAGATTGTTAAAGCACAAATTTGGGATACCGCAGGACAAGAAAGGTTGCGTTTTTTTTCCTTCGCTATGATCTCTTTTTATTTATTCATTTTTTTTTTTAGTTTTTGTTTGGACCAAATTTTAGCGGGGTTTGGTTGAATTCTCACGGGGTTTGAATTTTTTATTAAAAAAATGAGATTTTGATTTGGAAATGATGAATGATGATGCCTGCATGAATATGGATTTTGTATTTTCTGTTGTTGTGGGGTTCTTGTTTTTGATCTGGATGATTAGGACTTTTGTTGTATAATGGAGAATACCATCCACATTTTTATGATTAGGACTTTGTTTGGACCAAATTTTAGTTTTTGTTTGTTCTTTGATTTGAAACATGTATTGAGAAGGTTGGGAAATTGATGATTTCTTCTGTAAAATGGTGAATAGATTTAAGGCTTTTTGTTACATCATATTCATATCATAGCTCTGTTCTTTAGGTGGATTGCTGGAGAGTTGATGAAGGTTTAGGGTGTATCTCTTTGTGTGAAATAATATATGACTTGGACTCATTTTTATTTTTTTTAGTTTCGTTGGTTTTTTGTAGAATCTTCTGTCAATTTTCCTTTCCTTTTTGTTTTATTAAGTGTTACGGTGCTCCCAGAATAATATGGTTTGATGGATTTCGGTTATACACGTCAGGCACGTACCTTAAGTTAAATGAGGCAGAGCTTTGAGTCTGTGAGCAGTAAATTTACTCTGAAATTTGAATATGGCTCTGTGTGCAGTGCAGTGTGGGATTAGGAGGGATATTTGTTCTGTTTGGGTGTGTGATTTAATGTGATACTTTGGTTTGATTTGGTTTCATTTGACTTTGAAAATGACTGTTATTTTCAAGGACAAACATGGTACAACACACTTTGCACATGTTTAGAATTGAAGCTATACATTCAAGCATGGTGGCGGTGACCCTGAGTTTTCAAATAGTGGCTGTAGCACTATTGCAAATTGGAATTTGAACAAATTGCTATTTTTGCGACACACTATTCAGTACAAAGGGATGTCAAATAGTAGCTAGAGCGTAGCAGAGTTTGAATAAACCACTGTTTTTTGCAATTTGCGATTGACAACCGTAGTGGGTGACTCTCTGGTCACATAAACACGAACTTTTTTAGTGGATATAAACATCCATTAATTACCTGATGATAAAAGTGACATCAATTTGGTCCTCCAAAAAGTTGACTTTAATTAGTACCATAATCAAATCTGCCCCTTCAGTCATGCAAAGTTGACATCAATTTAGTCCACCAACCATTTAAATGACAGCAATTTAATCCATCAATCTGTACAAAGGACAAATCTGATGATGCTTTCAAGGGTTGAGGGACTAACTTGGTATTTTGAAGGACAGAAGTTTTGACCATTGTATTTTGGAAGATTAATATAGGACTTCTTTTTTACTGTTGTATTTTGCATTTCGTTGTGCTGTATATATTCATCTCATCCTTGTTAATCTTTATTTCCACAGATATCGTGCGATCACAAGCGCATATTATCGAGGAGCTGTTGGTGCATTGCTTGTGTATGATGTTACAAGACATGTAACTTTTGAAAATGTGGAAAGATGGTTAAAGGAACTTCGTGACCACACAGATGCCAACATTGTAATTATGCTTGTGGGGAACAAGGCTGATCTTCGTCACCTGCGTGCCGTGTCCACCGAGGATGCTAAAGCATTTGCTGAAAGAGAAAACACGTTTTTTATGGAAACGTCTGCCCTTGAGTCATTGAATGTTGATAATTCCTTCACAGAGGTACTTACTCAAATATACCGAGTGGTTAGTAGGAAGACTCTTGAGATTGGAGATGACCCTGCCGCCTTGCCAAAAGGGCACACAATCAATGTTGGCAGTAGAGATGATGTCTCAGCTGTTAAAAAGGTTGGATGCTGTTCCGCGTAGGTTGACAGATAATAGAAAAGATCGTCTTCGCAACCAATGGTATATTTATCTGTGCATGAATCAACCAATCCTCAAACATTTTGAGATTCATGCTAAATGTTTTAATACCTAAGCTTTTTCTTTTTTGTATTTTTTTCTACATGCTTTGTCGAGGTTTTTATTGTCGATTTTTTTTTACTAAGTGTTGTTTGGTCATAGGGATTATATGATTTTACCTTTAGATATACAAAAGTACTGTTTGTATTGAATGAAAAGGATATCCTGTTCTTAGAATGCTCAATCCTGAATTTGTCTATTGACAAACATTATACTGTAGTACTAATAGTAATCACACAAGAAAGTAATTAATGGCAGAAAAGCTTTATTAAAAAAGCATAAATTCCATATGATAACAAAAACATTAAAACTGAGCGAACAAACAGAGAAATTATTCCTTTAAACTAGAATGTAGTTCATTGTAAAACAACAGTCTAACATCAATAGTAGAGTACTTTATAGTGTTGCTGCTATTGCTAATGCTACATCTATTTATTAGCTCCGGTTAAATGCAAATTGTTCCCTGTAAAATTATACAAAAGAAAAACTTCCTGTAATAGCTTTTACTCTGAAACAGATTCATCTTGATGCTGAGTGGCGGAACGAAATAGAAGTTTGCGAGTAATACCGTTCCTCACTTCTTCGTGATACTTGCGAGAGCGGGGTGCCCGCACCATGTCTTCAGAAGCAGGAGCAAAAGGGTCAAAAATACCGAGGTTAGGTGTTTGAGGGTTCCAATTCTGATTGTTCGAATCGATGTGGATCCCATTCAGCTGTTTCCTGATCACTGCCATTGCCAGAAGCGACTCTGCTTCCAAATCCTCACTCTCTTTTTCCTTTTCTTTTGGAGAAGAAACATCATCAAGAGCAACACTCACTTCCACTGCATCTCGTTTTTCCTTGCACTGATCCATTTGAAGCGAGTTCAGCTACACACACCATTTATGAAGTTAGATTTAATTATCCGCAAATATTTCATTTTTCTCAAGGAAAAGAAAGAAAAGAAAACCCTAATTTTACCTCCCGACATTGTTGTCAACTATAAACGCACCACTATTTCACAATATTTTGAACTAAATAATATATCACATAACAATAGGGACTTATTTTGCTGTGCTATATCATTATAGCAAAGCTATCCCCACTATTTAATAACATTACTCCACCACAGAGAAACAAATCATATCTTATAAAAATTCTTTATCGAGGAATCTGAACCCCTAGATATCTTAGTATTAAATAGTGGACATTTGTACAAGATTTTTTTGAGTTAAATTTCTAAGGAGATGATATGTTCATCCGTAACACGAAAAAGAGATTTGCTTAGATTGAAATTTTATTTTACAAAATCCAATCACTCAAGTTTGTCTATCGCATCAATGAGACATTATTGAATGATGAAGATTTTTACCAAATTCATTTTAGTGAAATTTACACGAGAGAAAATCAGATCTGATTCAATCTAATAATAATAATAATATGTTTTTAGAACAAAAACTATAACAAAATGCCAAAAACATAAAAAGAGTGAAGTATAAGCACCTGAGATGGATGGATTTGTGAGGTAAAGAATTATGAGGGTCAAAGTTGAATACACCTTCGCACAATCGCCGCCGCCACTAAGCGCCAACAAGAAAAAAGAGAGACACAATGCGCCAAAAAAACCCTTTCTCGTATTTATATGTCATATTTATCACATGTTTTAATTATATATTTTATCAATTCCACGTCACTTGTTCGTGTTTTTCATTTTTTAGATAAGTACGTAATTTTTTATTTATTTTTAATTTTCATGAAATTTGAGAGTATTATATATCTATCTTGAGTATTACTACAAATTCATTTCACATATTTTAAAACTTGTGTTTAATGTGCAAATATCTTTTTCATAAAATCTTATTCTAAAAGTTGCCTTTCAAATATTTTGGGAGAAACTTTGGAATTCAATCTTGTATTTACCAATTATACATTAATTAAGAGAAAAAATAATTATTTACACTATTTTCACACTATTAATTCTAGACAATGAAGTTAGTAGTTTTAAGTAGTACAATAAAATTGTTCATGAAGATAACACTATATTTGAAAGTACACTTCTATATATAAGAGCAACTTTTACTTTAAGAGCAACTTTTACTTTGATACAAAATACACTTAAAGGGTTGATGGTTCACACTTTACACTATATAACGGCCGTTTATTTTAACTAGTCTCGAATGAGTTTGACTCTCCTCTATTTGTATACATCTAGTGTCTATTTATAAGAGAGGTAACTACAACTAAAAAATTTATTAATAGGGTTCATTTATTAGTTGAACTTATTAGTAATATTTATTTATTTATTACATGTGGCTATCTATGTAATAAATGAATACTAAATAGAGGCTAGATTAATTGGGTAAAGTCAAAGGTCTCTAATATGTCATGCTTAAATTATTATTTGATGATTGAGTATTACATCTATCCAAAATTATATACTAGTAAAAATCTAAATTATTAGTCATTTTGTAATCAATCAAATCATATGTTAATGATTATTTCCCCATCACACTCCTTACTGTTTATCACTTTCTCTTCTTTCTATTATTTTAATTTAACTTTTCAATATCATTAACAAATGATAAGTTTATAAATTATCTCATACTTTATTTTTTTTTTCCATACAAAATTAAACTATATACATTTTAATTTATGAAAAATGACCAAAATTTCACACAATTTGGAGAGTAATAAATATTAGTTTAATCAAATCAACTAGATAAATTTTATTTTTAAGTTAGATAATTGTAACGAGTTAGTCCTTCAAATTTTTTAATATAATAAAATGGTGAGTAATAAAATTAATTACAAAAAAAAAAACATTTGATTATACAAATAGAAATTAGATTGATGAGTTCATTGGAGTACTATGAGTGTATCAGATTGTGCTGCAATCATCAACACGCGAAACACACTTCAAACCTATCTACGAATATGATGCAAAAGTAGTAGCATGACTTACCTAAGCATCAATCCTAAAAGACTTAGCAAGTGGGTTTAACAAGGAGAAAAAATATCGATCTACTTGAAGAAGTTAGAAAACTAGCACACACAAATGAGTATGACTCAAGTTTAGGGTTGCAAGCACATTTAAAACTAAAACTAAGTCAACAAATTTCAAGAAAAGAGATGTAGTCTTACGAAATAGTCAACAGGCCATTAGCCTATAAATTTTCCCCGTCTTAAAAAAAATGAGTGTGGATGGAGCGAGTCCGTAGGCATTGCATATTAGGCAAGACAAGATTGAATTTAAAGCTCTAAAATGCATGTTTATAGGATACCTTGAAGGAATCAAAGCTTATAGGTTGTGGTGTCTAGATCCAGGTCACATGAGGTGTATCACAAGTCGAGATGTAACTTTAAATGAAGCAGAAATGATGTTCAAGAAAATTGATGATGTTGGTCGAAATGCAGAAATCTCTAAAGAGGAGCTGAAACAGAAAGAGATTCCTGTTGAGGTAGAGCATACTGATTTTGAATTGAATAACCCATATGAAGTCAAAAAAGAAGCACAAGATGCTGAAGATATTGAAGAAATTGTTGATGTCTATCTTCTGGCAGGTCGAGAAGAGTCATTAAGCCACATCAAAGACTTGGTTATGCAAATCACATAGAATTTTTCTTAATCTCTACAAGTGAGATTCTTAATGAAGAACCTAGAGACTAAAAGGAAATTGTGAGGAGTCGAAATAAGACTGAATGAATAAAAGACATGGATAATGAGATGAAATCTCTTTATAATAATAACACTTGAAAATTGATCGAGAAATTTGCAGGGGGCAGGTTAGTCTGTTGTAAGTGGATATTCAAGCTCAATAAAGGAATCAAAGGAGTGATGTTGAAAAGATTTAAGGTAAGGTTGGTTGCTAGGGGGTTCGCTCCGAAAGAAGGTGTCAACTTCAATGTTGCGTTCTCACTTATTGTGAAGCATGGATCCATTCGAATGCTTCTTGTCGTGGTGGCAAAGTTTGATCTAGAGCTGGAATAGATGGATGTGAAAACTACTTTCTTGTATGGTTATCTAGATGAAACAATCCTGATGAGGCAATCTGAAGGGTATGCATAAAAGGGAAAGGAGGATTATGTGTGCAAGCTGAATTGGTCGTTATACGACCTGAAACAACCCTCTCGTCAATGGAATAGGAGATTCGACAAGTTCATGACACACATAGGTTTCACTAGGATCAAGTTTGACCATTGTGTTTACTTCATATTTCGACTTGGAAGTTCATTTGTTATTTTTTAATTTATGTGGATGACATCCTCATAGAAAGAAACAATGTTAAGGATGTAATGAAGGCGAAGGCTGAACTTGATAAGGAGTTCGACATGAATCATCTGGGAGCTTCTTATAAGATTCTTGGGATTGACATCCAGAGAGATAGAAAGCAGTCGATATTATGCTTATGTCAAGAGACATACCTATAGAAGATTCTCGATAAGTTTGGTATGTTGAATTCAATGCTTGTTGTTACACCAATAAACCCTTAATTCAACCTAAGTACAACTCAAAGTCTGAGTACTGAAGCTGAAAGAATTTATATGAATAACATTCCCATATGCTAGTATAATAGGTTCTATGTTATGGTTTATATGATGCCAGACATAGCATAAGGAGTGAGCATTATAATTAAGTATATTGTCAATCCTGGGAAGATATACTGGAAAGCATTGTAGTGAATTCTAAGGTACATAAATGAGTCTCTGAGCAGAGTCATAATTTATTATGGAGCATGTGGTAATGATAATAAAGTAGAAATCGAAGGATATGTTGACTCTGATTATGCAGGTTGTTTGGATTCTAGAAAACTATTTATGGATATGTTTTCATTATGTTTGGCACCATAATCAATTGGAAATCGACAAATCAGAAGTTTATTGCCTTATCAACCACGAAAGCGGAATATATCCTCACTGAAGTTGTGAAAGAAGCATTGTGGCTTAAAGGTTTTATTAAGGAGCTGGAACTTCAAGGTCGATCTATCACTATTAAATGTGACAGCCAGAGTGCAATACGCGTTTCAAAGAATTCAACCTATCATGAGTGAACCGAGCACATCAATGTAAGGATGCATTTCGTCAGAGAAATAATCGAGCATGTGGAAGTCCAAGCGTTGAAGGTTTCGACTGAAGATAATGCTACTGATATGATCACTAAGACATTGTCAAGCTGTAAGTTTTTCCACTATATGCAATTAATAAAGTTGTAAGATGAAAGCTAGTTTGCTCTCGTGATGTTGTAGAGTTTGATCCAAGTAAAGATTTGTGGTATATTAGATTGAACTATGGTATCGACATGGGTAGCTTCCAAGTTCGAAAAAGGTTAAGCATGAAGTTAAAGTATGTTCACATGTTGTTGTCGAAAATATGCTATGTTGTTAGCATGTTGAATTGGGCCATCTTGTTAGTCTAATTGTTTAAGATAGTTTGTTACTTTAGTAGTATATAAATATACTAGTTCTTTCAGGTGGTTGAGGGGAGATGGTTGGTTGTTGGTATTCACTTGTAATCTATAAAATCTAATAGAAAAAGTGAACAGTAAAACAATTATAACCAATCATGATATTTCTTTCTTCTTCTTCCATCTTCTCCATCTTTTGCAAGACCTCTAATAGGGTTTCTTATGTTTGATCAAGAAACTCAATCTTTCTCAAAGTGTTATTCATTAATGGTGTGGCGTTTGTCACAATAACCAAAAACACACAACATAACCAAGCTCATGACATGTATTTCATATATTTGCAAATAATGTTTTCAAGAAGTATATATAAACGAGCATGAAGAAACACAAGGAATTGGTGAAAGAAACGTTTCAAAGATGAACAAGGTAAATGGATAGTTCAACAAAATAAGAAAGTAAAATGTACTTAAAAGA